AGAAGCTGCAGAACCTACACGTGGACTAGAAGAAACTATGTCAAAAAATGCAGAGGAAATTGCAGTAGAAACAACAACCCCTACAATAGAAACTGCACCAGGAAACAACATGAAAGTGTACTCCAGGAAGAGCAAGAAGGTAATAGAGTCCTGCACAGCTCCAAGGCAGAACCAAGAAACCTCCAAGACTCTAGAAAATGGCGTTCCCTCAGGTAATACTGCTCCTAACTCTGTGAATGTTGATGATATTGATATTCCTATTGCTTTGAGAAAAAATGTAAGATCATGTACTAAACATCCCATTGAAAGATTTGTATCTTATGGAAAACTGTCCCAGAGTTACAAGACTTTTGTAACAGCTCTTGACAATACACATATTCCAAGCAACATCCATGAGACACTCCAAAATTTTGAATAAGCAGCAACCGTAACTAAAGAGGTTCATGCCTTAATTAAGAATGACACTTGGGAGATCACAAGCCTACCTGCAGGGAAGAAGCCGGTAGGATGCAAATGGATATTCTCCATGAAGTATAATGCATATGGGAGTGTAAATCGGTACAAAGCTCTACTTGTAGCAAAGGGATTTACTCAATCATATGGAGTAGACTATGAAGAGACTTTTGCACCGGTGGCCAAACTAAACTCGGTTAGAGTTATTCTCTCTTTGGCTGCAAATTTAGATTGATCACTCCATCAACTAGACATCAAAAATTCCTTCTTAAATGGTGACCTAGAAGAGGAAGTTTATATCCAAATTCCTCCTGGACTTAAATCATCTAGCACCGCAAATATGGTGTGCAGGCTCCGAAAATCCCTTTATGGCCTCAAGCAGTCTACAAGGGCATGGTTTGATAGATTGACTCGAGTTGTCAAGAAAAACGGGTTCAACCAATGTCAATCAGATCACACTATGTTTATTAAACACTCCATGGAAGGAAAGGTAGCTTTGTTTATTGTTTATGTTGATGATATCGTTATTACAGGAAATTGTTATGATCAAATTGATCATTTAAAGGGACTCTTGGCAAAGGAATTTAAAGTTAAGGACTTGGGACAACTTGAGTATTATTTAGGGATGGAGGTTGCTCGAACAAAGGATTGTATCTATGTATCACAAAGGAAATACACCCTTGACTTACTTCAAGAAATTGGAATGCTCGGGTGCAAGTCAACTAATACACCAATAGAACAAATTAAAAGAAGAGAAGATGAAAGTCCACCAGCCGACAAAGATAGATATCAAAGTCTAGTCGGGAAACTAATCTACCTATCTCACACTAGGCCCGACATTGGGTTCGCTGTAAGCTTGACTAGTCGCTACATGTCAAATCCAACTGAGTCTAACATGAAAATGGCAAATAGAATCCTCCAATACCTCAAACGCACACCAGGCCGAGGCCTCCACTTCAAGAGGAATTCAAACAGGACATTGAAGTTTATAGAGATTCAGACTGGGCAGGATGCTCCACAGACAGAAAACCGACTACAGGCTATTGTTCATTTGTGTGGGGGAACCTAGTAACTTGGAGAAGTAAGAAACAATCTGTAGTGGCGAGGAGTAGTGCAGAAGCAGAATTTAGAGCTATGGCCCTAGGTATTTGTGAAGGAATGTGGCTTAAGAGCATGCTAGATGAAATCAAAATTCATGTCAACCACTCTGTAAGGTTACTATGTGATAACAAAGCTGCTCTAAGCATTACAAAGAATCCAGTCCAACATGATATAACAAAACATGTGGAAATTGACCGACACTTCATTAAAGAAAAAATTGATCATAAGATTATAAGTATTGATCATGTCCCATCATGCAAGCAAACTGCAAATATCTTAACCAAAGCTCTTCCAAGTAATACTTATGAAAATATTAAATCTAATCTGGGTATGATAGACACCTACCACCCAGATTGAGGGGGAGTGTTGAAGATTAGCACATATCAAATCATAATTATTTGATTCTGATTTGTCAAGTTGTTACAAGACAGTGGTGTAAATAGATTTATTATCTATTATTGTTATTTTCTTATTTAGGTAGTTGTTATTTCCTAATTTAGGTAGCATCAATTATAGGAAATTATTTCTCTGTTTATTAACAAATTAGTGTACAACATATGTATTCTATTTATACCTCACAATGTAAGAGTTCCAATAACAATAAAATATACAACATATTTATTCTATAAATATATTGTGTAGGTGCAGGGTGTAACACTCTTCTAACCCCAGAGAGTAATTCTCAAAATAATAAGGATAATTCAATTTAATTCACCATTTCAAGGGAGTCACACTTTATATAAAATATTCATAATAATCATCCTGCTCCGTAACACGGGTTACAACATCTATAACATCATTTTCTTTTATGACTTTAATACATGAATTGAACTTCGTATCAGAACAAGACACCTTCTAATTAACGAGAACTAATAAGGTATTCCAAAGCTATCTTCAACGCTTCTACAAGCTACTCCGGAGCTTCTGCGCGTTACCCACGTGGAGGCAACATTAAAACAAGCTGGGTGAATAATCACAATTCATTATGAAAGATATAAGGAAAAGACTTGGTAGTAACATTATCATCATCATTTTAACACATATCATCTATAAATGAAACATACTCACACCTACAACCATAATAAAACTTATACATCATTCGTCATAAAACATCATATAATCACATAGTCTCGAATATCATTATATCACCTCTCATCAACAAAGGTCATGCAAATGTCACATAGAATGTTATTGCACAATACTGAATCAATGCATGTAGTACCAAATTTTGGTGAACACTCAGGTTCACCGTTCGGATCCCCACCTCTTATGATAAGAACCACTCACTAATCCATCACCTTCTAATCAGCTACCGGCCAAATCCACACAATGGGATTTTAGGCTCATGCGGACCATTGTCCATAAATGTATGCAATGCGACTATTTATGCATACAACCACTACAACATCATCGTGCACAATAACCAACCACCTTGGCTATTGTACACCATCCAAATTGGCCAACAAGCATAACGTATAGTTCATACAACATATATATCTTTTATGCAATCACAACAACTCAAAAATCACATTTGAAGTAATGCATTATATCACACCACATATAACATAACCTCAATCACATCAAACAATAAAATATCACTACTCATGTTCACAAATGTATGCATGCGACTACTTAAGCATACAACAACAACAACATCATCATGCAGAATAACCCACCACAATGATTATTGTACACCGCTCAAAGTGGCCAATAAGCATAAAATACCTAAATACATTTCATACAATATGGATATATATATTTTATGCAATCACGACAACATCATTAAAATATCTTTATATTGCCATCATTAACATCACAACAACATCATTAAAACATCTTCATATTACTATCATTAATATCACGTCAACATCATTAAAACATATTCATATTACAATCATTAACATCACATAAACATCATTAAAACATCGTTATATTACCATCATTAACATCACAACAACATCATTAACATTTTTTTTGATTTCATATAAAAAAAACAATTATTAATATACTCTTAGTTAAATAACATCAACTATCTATATTAAGTAATTAATTCATAGTTTTATAAAAATATATTAAATGTATTTAGATTTGTTGATATTTATTTATATTTAAGTCAAAAAGTTTAAAAAACTTTTATTTATAAATAAGATCCGAAAGAGTACTTATTTATATGTATATTTTTGTTTTAAAAACATGAGAAATATTTGCATAGAAACTCACCTATATTCATATTCATATTCACCTAGATCCGAAAGAGTACTTATTTATATGTATATTTTATATTTATTTTAATTTAATTTCTATTTTAATTGGTATTATAGGGTGGTGATAATGAAAAAGATAAAAATTTTATTTTTATTTTTTAGTTAATAAAAAAATTATAATTGATTTTTGTAATATTACATGATATATTCGTTTTTATGTAAATATCTTTTTTTTAAGAACACTCATCTGAACTTTTGAAACCATAAAGAAAGGGCTTACCTGAAAAATTTCCAAACAACCTTAGGAAAGAGTGTTTGGAAAATGTGAAAACACTGTTAAAATCTCTGGTTATTTATGCTCTAAATAAATATATTTAGATAATGAATCACGCTAACCATTGTTTAACCAGTGTTTGAAAGGACAGATTCAAAATTTTAAATATAAAAAAAATATTATATATTTTATTCATTTAATACAAACAAGAATTTTTAAACAAATTAATTATTCATGTTTTTAAGTACATTAAATACACATATTTAAAAAACATTTATTTTTAGTCTCATAAAAAATATTTAAATTATTTTTTTAATTTGTTAACCGGTATCCCGAGACATTATTTCGTTAATAATTCCTTAAATAATCGTAATGATGAAATATATGCCATAAATATACGGGATCTAAACATTTTGGCAAAATTGTCAATCGTCCTTCCCAATGAAGAAAGGGAGGATATATATCTTTTATTGCTAATAGAGTAAAGAATTGTTCTTTAATTGTAGAGGAAAAGCTTAACTAGAACAAAAGAGAGTAAATATTTTGAAATCGTCACGTAAAGAACATTAAAGAATCAATTACAATAATATATATAGATAGATATATTTTTTATGGTCATCAGTAGCAACCAATACGCAATAGCGATCGGGCTTGAAGCAGTTCAGAAGATATTTTGGTTTGTCATTCATTTTAATTCAATATAACTCTACATTTTCTGCATATGTAAATGTTTAATGGATAGCTTAAAATAGTCTTATCTGTGTTGCAATATTTTATAGTGATTAATTAAAACAAAAACCATAATAATGTGTTGGGTAGAAATAGCAATGTTGAAGTTAGTGAGTTCTATCACACAAATCTTACAATAGATTTATTTAAGTTTGTTCCAAAATATTCATTAACATTTTGAACTTTAAGTCGAAGATATTCAAGATACAGTCTTTTTATCAACAGGTTGAGATTTGAAAATGCCAGCAATAAAAAAATTCTTTTTTGATTGGCCATTGCAAGATGAAGAAGCTTCATCAAATATGGCAAATAGGAATGACGATGAACTTGAACTTGAACTTGAACCCTCGGAAATCAGTAATGTCCTTGAAAAATGTAACGATAATCAAATTAATTTGATTAGTGAAGCATATCATTTGGGCTACGGGGGTTCAAAGAATTTGTTAGATCAATCTTGTGATCTACTTGCTATTAGGACCCCTATGGGAAACAGTGTGCTACATATTGCAGCTTGGAATGGTAATGATGACATTGTTACTCTTTTAATTGAACGTGCCCCAAAACTCTTGATAACAGTTAACAGAAACGTGGATCGTGTCTTGCATGCTGCTGCAAGAGGTGGAAAATTTTCAACAATTAAAAAGCTATTAGAAGGTTATAAAAATATTCGGATGCAGGAGTATAAATCAATTCCACTGTTTAATAGAGACATTGACCATATTGAAACGTCTAGTGCGTATGATCTACTTGAATTTGCAAAACTGAAGAATGATCAAGGCAACACTATGTTTCATGAGTTAATGTTATGTGACAAGAGCAAAAATGGTGGGGATATGATTTTCAAAGTTTGTGAACTTTTCAAAACAGAAGATTTGTCAAATAGTATTAATGAATATGCAATGGAAATTACTAATAATGCAAACAAAACAGCTCTTTACCTTGCAGTTGAAAATGAGAACAGTTATGCAGTCGATCTGATATTAGACAAGTCTCGCAACGAGTATGAGTTTCCACCAATGGGATTATCACCATTTGTGGCAGCAATCATGATGCATAATCAAGGTATATAAAGATATGAATGTTTTCAAAATAGTGAAACTTATTTAAATTTCAACTTTAAGATATGAATGTTTTGTAATATCATTTTAATAGCAATTATTAGAGAACATGGGTTAATATTAATGTTTTTTGTGTTAGAAATGTTGAGGATCATACTAAAACACAAGCCAACTTGGATCCATTCGCAAGACGAAAATGAAAGGCTACCTCTTCATTATGCTGCATCTATTGGTTACCTTGAAGGTGTTGAATTATTACTTGAATCATGTAAATGTTGCACAATTCAAAGAGATAAATATGGCTACTTTCCAATTCATCTAGCTTCTCATGGAGGACATGTGGCAGTAGTAAAGAAGCTTTTAGAATACTGTCCTGATCCAACAGAAATGCTTGACACTTCTCGTGGACGTAATATTCTTCACATGGCATCACACTATGGAAAATACGAGGTTGTACGTTACATACTACAAAATGATCAAATTCGTGAACATGATAAGAAACATAAGTTGATAAATCAAAAGGATAATACAGGAAATACGCCTTTGCATCTAGCAGCAAAATCCTTCCATCCCAAAACAGTATTTTACTTAATATGGGATAAAAGAGTGAATTATGATCTGGTTAACCAAAACAACCAAACACCTCTTGATGTTGCAAATGAAAATTCTCAACTTGCTCGTTCGTCCGCGAGACAGGCAAGTATTACTACTATCTTCTCACATAAAATTAAATCATAATATACTCACTGTAATTAACTTTCCTTCTTCTCTCTTTGATATATATATACGTAATACATGCAGCAACTTACATGCACTGCACTAAATTCTGTTGGTGCAAAATCAAGTTTTAAAAGAGTACTCCATAGTAAATGGAGACAATGTGATTCAAACTCAGCAAAATCAAAGCAGAAAGAAAGTGACACGAACCCGAATGAAAGTAGTGAAATTGTCTCCAATACTGCACAATATTTTTTTCTGGCAGGTGCTGACACCCAATATAAAGACAGGGTAGAGACACTCATATTGGTTTCAACCCTTATAATCACTGCTTCAGTAGCAGCATGTTTTGCGGTTCCAGGCGAAGCAGACGGAAGAGCACACAACCTATATCATGCAATGTTCCAACTTTTCATCTTCTTCATCACAATATCATTGTTCAGCTCTATTAGTGCAACTATCATACTCTTTTGGGCAACACTTGGATTATCTAAGTTGGTGACCTCCTCTCTCAAAATTGTTATGCCACTTCTTGGAATCGCACTCATTTCACTAACTTTGGCTTTCATGGCTGGTCTTTATACAGTTATCAGTCCACTTAGATGGTTGGCCAATCTCTTTCTGGTTGTGGCTGTGATTTTTGTTGTGCTTGTGGTCTTGTTGTACACAGTCCTTTTCCTCCCCTCAGCTTCAACTAGAAAGGCCATGCGATACATTTCCTACTACCCCTTTCTTTTCCTAGCATGGCTCGCAGAGTAAATTGGATCCTCTACAACGGATCGCATATTATTACGTATGTGTTGCAACTAGGTAGATTCAATAATGTAGTTACTGAGGTCGACAGTATTGTATTCGACATAAAACTTTATTTTTGGAATTGGTTGATCTTAGGTAGGAAGGGGAGCAAGTCGTGGTGCTTGTATGATTGGTTCAAATTCCCTTTTGTTTTTTTTTGTAATTGACTCTTGGTTGAGATTTCTTTAATCTCCTTTTAATTTATTCTGCTTACCAAAATAAAATTTATGTTTTTTTAACCAATATAAATAAAGATCACATAATATTATGTGTGCATGTATATACTTTGTCTCTACATATCTCCATGAATTATATTTTTTATATATGGTAATATATTTTTTTATATTTTTTATAAATACATCAAAGATTAACAAAGAAAATCTAGTAAAATTAGTATGAGTTAAATATATGTTATTCTCTGTAATATTAGCGAGTTTCGGTTTATCTTCCTGTAATATTTTTTTAAAATTTTTTTTTTTATAATGTTAGATTCCGTGTGTAAAGCCCCTTGGTTGACTATTTCAACCTAAAATCTTCTTTTAATCCTACATGGTTGTCTAGATGAATTTTTTTAAATTTATTTTCAAAAATGTCACATGGAATTTTTAATTTTTTTTTAAAATTAAATTTTAAATTTTTTTATATTATGAGAGGTAAATGAAAATTTGTTCACATTACATAGGTTAAACCAAATAAATCACCTTTCTCTACTTTCTTTATGAGACCAAATGCTTGAAATATTTTGTGTAGATTTAAAGTCCCATTAGATAAAATGCATGACTGAAAAGGAAGGTGAAAGCTTGATATTTATTGATGGGAAGTACATGCAGATTTTAATATGATGCAAGTGTACAACTTATATTAATGAAAATGCTAGGTTGAATGTATGCATGAAGATGATGAAAAGTCTATTTAATTACAAAAAAGTAATATTGAAAATGATATCTCCAGTTGTTACTGATCCATGTTTGTTGAATAACCCTAGTCCAAGCTTCGACAATGCCAATTTAAGGTTTGACTTGTTTTCTAAGTACAGAAGATGAAAAGCCGATTCTTTTACCATTGCTAAGCACTCTTTAAAGTTGAAAAACTTCTTGATTTCCACTTAATGCGTCTCTTTAAGCTACATGAAGTGAGTTGTCTAAGTAACCTCCCAAGATGAGAGTGTAATCACTTTTTTTCTTCTGTCATGTTGGGATTTTTACATTTTTTACATAAAAGATAGACATGCACCAATATCAAGGTCTTAAAACTTCTACAAGGATGCATAGTTGATGTACTATCTATAACTAGTTCGATAAACTTTCATGTTAGGATTTTTACACTTCACACCCGAACTAGTTTGATACACTTTTGGAAATGAAGTCGAAAACACATAGCTTATGTATTGTCTTGCAGTAGAGAGAATTCCTAATTATTACTTCTAGGTAAATACAAAGATGAGATTCCTACATTTGAGAAACATCAAATCATGACAATGGATCTTTCATGCTATGCTTTCATTTTGTTTTGCTGGACATATTAAAGTTACACATGTTGGAGAAGATATTCAGGAAGCAATTGATCTTTTAGTACAAAATGGTTTAGATTCTTCTTGTTGGATTTTGATATTTATGTTGCTTTAATTTCCTTCAGGTTATAATCTATCATCATCATCATCATCATCATCATCATCATTATCATCATCATTTATTACCAGTATTTAATATATTGTGTAGGTGCAGGGAATGGTGTCGCGTTCCTCTCATTACTCCATGTTGACATCGCTTGAACTTTTCATCGAGCTAAACATGTGTTGTAGATTATTGAGTGAATGGGATACGTGGGATTGTGATTAGCAATTGACATCTAGTAGTAAAGTTGCATATCTTATTCAGAGGTTGAAAACATTGCAAGGAACTAATGAAGAAATGAGTTTTGTTATATTAAAACACTTATTTATCAAGACAACATGACTGGCTAAGTGGAGGAAGCACTTGTTTTGAACAAAAGAAGTTGAGTTCAACTCTCATTCCCATTGGGACAAACAATGATCCTTTTTTCAACATTTTAATATCTTAAGACGTGAGTTTAACTCTCACTGGGAGAAAAATGACCTCTTGAGAAGAGCAATTCTCTCCTCTATCTTCAAATAATAACTCATTTATAAATCTAGGAGCAACAATATAACGACTCATATCTGATTCCAGACGAAAACAAGTTTTAGTCAGCTTATATGCACAATGATTCGCTTCTCTAAACACATGCTTACATCTGCACACTCATATCTACACAAAAGGCTCTCTATCTTTCTTAGCATCACCATACCTTCAAATCTCCTAGTCCTCCCCTAGTTTAGATTCAAAACAATCTCAGAAGCATCAATATCCACTTCCACTCGCTTGATGCCAAGATCCAAAGTAAGAATCAAACCCTCTAGCATTCCCTCCAACTCCACCATATAGCTACTACAAATTTCCATTTTTTTAGCAAATCGTTCAACCCAACAACATTTATCGTCTCTAATAATTCCTTCACACCCCGCAACAACTCTATATATACACGCACCGCCCACATTTAATTTTTGCATGCCTGGAATAGGAGGAACCCACATAATGTGCAAAATCTCCTTATTTATACCAACCACCCTCTTATCCAACATCTTTTCCTCCTCATACTCCTTCAGACTCCCTTCCACAACCAACCTAGGATTCATAGGCCTCTCCAACTCCTCAATATGCTCCTCCTTATTCCTCTAAAACTAGAGAGAATGATATGCCACTGCCCACTACGTACTCCAAACACCATCTTTCTTGGAAGCATAATTAAGGTTCAACCTGATCCAATTTTCCCAATCAGAATTGAATAATTCTTGCACAATACCCAAAGGCACCGCCCACATTTAATTTTTCCATGCCTGGAATAGGAGGAACCCACATAATGTGCAAAATCTCCTTATTTATACCAACCACCCTCTTATCCAACATCTTTTCATCCTCATACTCCTTCAAACTCCCCTCCACAACCAGCCTAGGATTCATAGGCCTTTCCAACTCCTTAATATGCTCATCCTTATTCCTCCAAAACCAGAGAGAATGATATGCCACTGCCCACTACGTACTCCAAACACCATCTTTCTTGGAAGCATAATTAAGGTTCAACCCAATCGAATATTCCCAATCAGAATTGAATAATTCTTGCACAATACCCAAAGGCACCGCCCACATTTAATTTTTCCATGCCTGGAATAGGAGGAACCCACATAATGTGCAAAATCTCCTTATTTATACCAACCACCCTCTTATCCAACATCTTTTCATCCTCATACTCCTTCAAACTCCCCTCCACAACCAGCCTAGGATTCATAGGCCTTTCCAACTCCTTAATATGCTCCTCCTTATTCCTCCAAAACCAGAGAGAATGATATGCCACTGCCCACTACGTACTCCAAACACCATCTTTCTTGGAAGCATAATTAAGGTTCAACCCAATCGAATATTCCCAATCAGAATTGAATAATTCTTGCACAATACCCAAAGGCACCTTAGTCCCAAATATCTCATGCATTCAGGCAATCTTTAAAAACATTCAACGTTGTTTCATTGGCATTCCCACACAGTCTACAATCGGATGATCCAAGGTCTTTTATACTTTTGCTAGCATTTGTTAGTAGTCGATCATGTTTTAAAAGATAAACAAACATCTTAACTCACTCAGAAACTTTCAACCTCCAAACTATTTTCCAATCCTAGTCAGAATTGGAATTTTCACTCCTCGATAAAAGATCATAAAATTGCTTAACTGATCCCGTGTCTTGAGCTACTCCAACCAATTGAAACTTATCCATTTCTTGATTATCGTATGGAGGATGAATGAGTCGAATTTTTTCATTGGTCTCATAGGATATCCATTGCTGCAGAAACTTCCAATTCCAATCCCCAACATCTGTCACTAAGTCATAGACTTTATGCTCCTAGACATAACCATGAATATGATGCAGTTGCTCCCCCAAGAAAACACCTACTTTTACCCAACAATCTTCTCAAATATTTACTCTACTGTCATCTCCTAAATTTTATAATATTAACTTAAAATCTCATATCAACGCGATACACATGTCTTAATCTTGTAATCATATATTAGACAACTCGCATACAAAGGGAAACCATCACACTTTAATACTAACCTATACTACCTCAAACCATGATAAATTTAACCTTCAGCATGTGATGTTAAATAAAGAAGAAGATAGTGAAAAATGTATCTCAATGGCTTTATAGTTAAAAATGATGGAAGGAAAATGAGTATGTATATCAAAACGACAACAATAATAAATATCACACTCATAACCATGATAAATTTTACCTTCAGCCATGAAAGCAAACATAATGAAATAAGAGTGATTCCAAGAAGTGGCATCACAATTGTTAGAGTGAAAGTCACCAGTTCAGTTGATCTAAATTTTGCCCAAAAGAGTATGATTATAGCACTATTAATGGAACTCAACAATGTTGTTATGATTAATATTGTGAATAAATATCTTGAAAAAAATTATTAACGATTTTTTTATATTCAAAAAACACACAAGAGTTAAAGTTAATAAAGAAAATAAGGAAAAATAACGAGGATTAGTTATAAACTGCTATTTTTTCATTTATCTTTTAACAAGATTACAAGTAAGAATAACAAAAATAATATTTCTCTCTCTCTTGAATTAGACTTTTATCTTCCTATTTTTCCTTATGCAAGTTGAGAGACTAACATGCTATTTATAAGAAAACTAACACACTAACCTAATGGGCTTTTTAACAATTACTCATTACAAGCTAACTTAGGGTAAAAGTTAACTTAAACAATTGAGCTTACAAGGCAAACCCAATATGACATGATAACAAACCTAGCAATATTGACTAATGCATGTTAGAACAAACCTACAACACACATTACTTCGACAACAGCATGCAAACAGACTTCGACCAAATATC